AGGCAACTTCCAAGTGTAATGCCACATCCTTTTAATTTTGTTGTTGTTACTGGTACCAGCTAGGTTAAGATATGTTTTTCCATATTTCAAAATGGTTTCATAAGCAGATTTCACTAAAAACCTCCAACTCTGTTCCCCTCCCACACCAACTTATCTCTCAGCCCTGAATAACTTAAAGGGATCTGAAAAATAGCCTGAACAGTTACAGGGTCAAAGGATTCAAAAATCAGCACTCTATCCAATCATGTTTACCCATATCAGTAAGATCACAAATCCTGCTTAACCTAGCCCTATCAATCTCAAAGTGGCAATAAGGTTTGGAAGATAGTAAACTAGGGATCCAAGGGGAATCCAAGACTTTAACAACAGCCATCCTCAATTTAAAATTTAGCACCCAACTCTAAAGTCTCCCTGGCCCCTAGCCAACTTTTTAGAGCCAAGAGACCCCATTCTTGGGTTTAAGTTTAACAAATTTACTCATAAGCAAATTAGGCTTAGTTAAGACTCTCCACAATTGCTTCACAATAATGCTTCATTAAAGGCTCTAAGATCTTTAAAACCCAACCCCCCATCTACCTTAGGTTTGGCAATCTTCTCCCACTTAGCCCAATGACTTTATTTCCCCCACCCTCTTTTTTCCCATGCCAAATTTGAGCATAATCCTTATCACCACTTACAAACATGCAATTTAAAGTAGGATATGATGTAGGTAGGCATAGCATCCACAACAGACTTAATTAGACCATCCTTCCCAGCCTCACTCAAGAAAGCATGTTACCAATTAGAAATCCTATTATGAACTGCCCCACTCACAAATTTAAAAATTTCTCTCTTAGACCTATCAATTCTCAAAGGGAGCCCCAGGTATTTGACAGTTGAAACATGATTAATACCATGCAAGTAATGAAGTGTTTTTTGAGGAAAAGATGGAGACTTTTCAAGGTTAACTGCATAACCAGAAGCAGAACCATAGTTCTCTAGCATTTCCATAATAAGGTGAGAATGGGGATATCAACCTTGCAGAACAAAATGGTACCAACTCAGAGTTTTACCATGGAGGATTATGAGTTTTCCTCAGTATGACCCATGTTTTTTTTCCTTTTACTCATGTAAAGTTTTACTTGACTGCATGTTTGGGTGTTGAACTCAGGCTTGGAATTTATGTTTGGAACCAGATATCCACTTTTCTTGCAGCACATATATGTCCATATTACATCCTCATTTTCTCCATTCTATAACAAAATCTTATCTTATGCTATAAACCCAACAAAAATAACAACTTATTCCTTTACATATAACACTTCTAACACATCCTCAGAGCTGAAACCCCACCAAAAAGCTGCATTATTGCATGATTGATATATAAATCAGCTCCTCAGAAACTCCCAGGGCCCTGTCCCAGTCCCAACTCTGCAATCAAATAAACATATGAATCAGATACTTAATTCACAATATAAATTACAATCAACTAGAAATTTCTTTTTGTACGAAATATGACCTCCAAAATCCAGCGAGTGCCCTTAAGCTCATATATATTGTCAACGCAATCCAGATTCCGACAAACCCGTTGCTTGATGAAAGAATGAGCAGAACAATGATGCTTACAATAGCCACTGTAACCTGCAAGAATGATGCGTAGAAAATTATATTCATCTTCGATTTAAATTTATTTGCGCTAAGACCGCTTCTAATAATTTAGAGAAAATGAAGAACGTAAACTGGAGAGCATACCATTGAGTAGGCTGAATACGCAAAATCAGACGCTCCGAAATTGACTCCATCGAAAACGAAGGCTAATGCGTTGATAGGTTGAGTTGCTGCAACAAACTGAGATGACAAGTTGAAAACCTTATTCTTAGAATAATATGCCTTCTCTGAGTTGAATTTTATTTGACCTTTCAAATTGCAATTTGCAGACACTAGAAAAAAAAAAAAGATACCGGGATTCCAACACCAATAAGGCGAAGAACATTAATGTCACTGGTAAATATTCTTGCTCCATAATGTAGTCCAAATCCGAGGACGATAGCCAAAAACAGCCCCAAAGCCAAACCCAGCTGCATTGTAATAATAGTCGATCCAAGAAAAAAAGTGATGATAAAAAAAAAAAAAAAATCTTGAATAAATTACCTGTAGTACTCTGGAAGCAGTGACAGTTGCCCAACTGTAGTCCTTTCTAGCAAATGCACTTGCAAGTATTGCCTGAAGGAACATTTAAGCATATGCTTATTCACATTCTTTGAATTATTACCAAAAGACATTTTACATTAAAAAAAGGAAAAAAAAGATAGTTAAAAAAACATAGGATATGTTCTTTTACCTGCCCAGCAACAGCCAAACCATCGGCTAGATGAGAAGTTGCAAACCATACTTGAAAGCAGACCTCAAATGCAGCCATTTGTGTTGGTCCAAGCCTTGCAGCCATTGATGCAGCTAAGGTCACACAAAATGTCACGGCTATCACTCTCGTGAGCAACAAGAAGCCTACATTTGGTAGTTTAGTCTAGTCAAAATAAGGAAAGTGCATAATACAGATTCATTTTTACCTATAATGTATGGTTAAAAAGAATCAAGAGCATAAAAAACACGTCACCATTTTTAAGAAATCGGCCGAATTGCAAATATTTGAGACTAGGAGGCACAAGGTCCACTTGCTCCTTCAATCTCCAAAAGAGTATTAGTGAAATCAAGTACCTTAAAAAAAAAAAAAAAAAAAAAAAAAAAAAAAAAAAAAAAAAAGCAGCTCGATTATGATATGGTACAAGATAGCTGAACACATTAAGGTTAAATGCAAGTAGAGTTACAAAACTTACTGAGAGATAACGTGCGAAACAGCCGCGCCTCTAACTCCCATTTTGAATACAAAGATAAATATGGGGTCCAAAATTATGTTGGTCAAATCTCCAATCACTAAATTAGCATCCCATCAACAAAAAACAAATAGATAGAATAAAATCATAAATAGAACACAAATAAAATTTTCAATGATGTTCAAATAAAATAAACTTTACCAGTCGCGTATAACGGGGTTTTAGTATCCTTAAATCCACGAAAAACTCCTTGCATAGCTAATGACAAAAGAACTGCTGGTGCCCCAAGTGATCTCAGCTTCAAGTACTGTTGTGCTGGGTCTGCCATTGACGAATGCTGCGCGCAAGCACACAAAAAATGTTATGTGATATTCAACTCAGATACTAAAATTAGTAATTTTCTTCTATCTCCTTTTGATTTTGATTTTTCTGCTTACTGGTTTGACTCCCATGAAACTTAGTAAAGGTTTAGCTGCAAGAATCAGAAATGCGGCTTGGATTATGCCAAGAATGCCCCCGATGATTAATGCAGATGATGCAGATGCAATCTGCTTCTTGCCAGGCTCAGCCTTAACTATCTCGAAGCTGCTATTTTCCAATTCTGCATATGAATCAGATATATTAGACAGAATAACTGAATATATTAGCCATAAAGAGACTAAAAAGGAGGAATTACTGTCCTGGAGGCGCTGCCCACCCCTGAAGGGTGGCGGCCACCGCCCGCGATAGCAGGCTGTGGAGACGGCTCACCATGACTGGTAGACGTGCTCAGGAGCACATTTTTTGGACTCTGGGTAATGGGGATGTTAGCTTTTGGAATGAGTGATGGTTCGGTGAGGGTCCCCTATCAGGACACTTGGCAGATTCAACACCCACTCATGCGTATTAGAACCATATTTCGGTCGATTAGATATCGAATCTCACACATCTTCCGTGAGGGGAACCGACCTGCTGATTTCCTTGCTGGCATCGGGTCCTCCTCTCCACAGAGTCGTATTCTTCAGCCTGACGACATTCCTCTCTGCCTCCGCACCCTTATATTGATGGACCAGATTGGATACCCATCGTTCAGATTTGGACAGTCGGACTTACGTTTCGGTGCCTCTGCTTACTCGTGATGTTGACCTTTCGCCTGGACTCTTTCAGGATTAGGATCAGATTTTTGTTGATTATTTGTAGCTGTTGTCTTTTTCTTTTACTTGTTCTTATTTTGTTCTTGCTCATTTGGACTGTTGGTTCCTTAGACATCGGACTGTAGTTCTGTGACTTTTGAGTTCATTTAGGGCCTCTTTTATATACAGGTTGGGGGCTCGGCCTTAACCCCCACCCCTCCCGAGGTGTTATTTAGGAATTCAACATTATATAGTTATTTACCCTTTTGTGGTATCAATGTCATATTTTCGCTTTCTAGAGTGGAAATGTTCTCCAAGCTTTCACAATCTTTGGAGTCATTAGCCATTCTTGTGATTGTATCTTCTTCGGCCACAAAAGAAGTTGTCACACTAACGAGAGGGAAAATCGCTATTCTCGAGATCTGATTGAATAAGGCAATGGAAACTCCCACGGCAGCTAGTTCCACTGGACCTGTTCAGAATTAATTAATGTCTGAATTAAACAATTTTACTCTTTTCTTACACTCAAGTTGAATTTGACGATAAGGGAGCCGGATATTGGTCAAAAATTGAAATTTGACTAAATTACTAAAGTTACAGATTTTTGTTTAGGTATTAGTTCATACCGATTTGGCCGATAAAAGCAGTATCTACCAAAGATGCAATAGGATCAGCTGTCAAAGCGAGTGCTGCAGGCAGAGCAATCCTTGCTATTTCCAGGCCGAGATTGTCTAGATTAAACACTGACCTGCTCACAAACATTTACCAAAAACTAACTATTACCACTCTCTGATTTTCACGCATTAGTACGTACCCCCCGTGCGATGCAGAGGAGGAAGATATTAAATAAGTTATTTTCACAGTCTTTGTATCATTTATTTTTCACCTCTTCTAATCAATGTTAAGTGTAGAAAATAATAGAATTATAATCTATGTTCCACCTCTTTTAAACAATAGGATTATAATATATTTTTCACCTCTTTTAAACGTTTTTTTTAGCCAGAACATTAAATACGAGCATGTTATGTATAACTTGAAAAATAATTAATATATTATCTCACTAACACATTTATAATAATATAAATTTGATTTTATTATATATATTTATTTATTGATATAAGAGAAAATAACAGTTTTACAGCATCTCCAATTGTAAATGGATTGCTATAGTTCATTGCCGCCTAGCTCCAAAAATCCAATGTGGCATTTCACAAATGTAGAAGTGTTTCTAGATGTAGAAAAAAATATAAAATAAATGATATAATATTAAATAGAACATGTCTAAAAAAATTTTTTTTTCATTAACCAATTATTATCTTACATGTGTCAAATTATTCCACAATTGACATTAACCACTGGAGACAAAATATTTTTATTCCCTTTCTCCACACCATTCATTTCAAAATAGACATTCAACCATTGAAAATTCTCTTACTTATTATTGTTCACCATATAATACTTAATTATTATTTTATTTTAAACTTTGTTGTCATATAATGTCATTTTTATTTATAAAAGTTATGAAAATTGTACGTCTTATTTTTTTTATGTAATAAAAAATATTTAATGCACGTTAGTATTATTTGTGTAATCAATTTAAATAGGTAAATGGATTTAAACGTAAATAGTGTATAAATATTTTACAAAATATACACACATGTTTTTTTTTAATTTAATTTTGCATACTAATTAAACAACTTTAATTTACAAAACGTCAAAAATTCAGTCTCTTCTATAATCAAGATTTTTCAAATTTGCATTATAAAGATTTATAGTTTTTTTAGGATATTCATCAATGAAAATTATTTTACAATAACTTCATTATAGAAAGAAATAAAAAAAAAAATAAATAAAAAGATAATCATGTTTGAAAATAATATACAAATAAATTCTAAAGAACAGTTATATATTTGAATTTTAATTTTTGACCATTAGTAAAACTATTTAATTTATATAGTCATTATCTCTTAAATGTTAAATTATATTAATTTGAAGAATAAACTTGTTGCAATTTTTATAAATATTTTTTGAATTAAAAGTTAATATTTATAAAATTTTTAACTTTTGACCATTAGTATAACTATTTAATTTATATAGTCATTATCTCTTAAATGTTAAATTACATTAATTTGAAGAATAAACCTGTTGCAATTTTTTATAAATATTTTTGAATGAAAAGTTAATATTTGTAAAAATAAAATTAATATTGTGATTACCACATAAGATATGCTGCAATATTTATCTTGACCAAAATATTGTCAACATGAATCACAGAAAATCAATCTTGTAATTTATATAATGAATATCAATAAAATTATTGCAGATATTAGTAAAATTATTTAAAGGAAATAATATTTTTGATCATATCTGATTTGATCTTATGTGAAAAAATGTATACATAAGCAATTAATGCATATATTTAAAAAGTTTCCAAAGGTATGTATTAAATACTCCTAAATTTTTTGATATTTATCTTGACCAAAATATTATCAACATAAATCACGAAAAATCAATTTTGTAATTTATATAATGAATATCAATGAAATTATTGCAGATATCAATAAAATTATCTAAAGAAATAATATTTTTGATCATATCTGATTTGATCTTATTTGAAAAAGTGTATACAGAAGTAATTAATGCATATATTTAAAAAGTTTCCAAAAAAGGGTATGCATTAAAAGCTCCTAAATTTTTTGCTACTATTTTTAGTAAATGACTATTCTTATTATATACAAGTACAGTACCCGTGCGATGCACGAGGCTTTATTATTTCCGTCCTTTTTAAAAGGCAATTTTGTATTTAAATTTAAATTATATAATAAAGCACCGATCATTGATTATAATTAAACCTAACAAACACTTATTATAAGATACGTGTAATTATTTATATTAATTATGTTGGGCTTGTACAATAGGAATGTTTTTGAAAAATGTGAGTTTCAAAAAGTTCATATCGGTCCAATTTACAATGTTGGCTTCGAAAGTTCATATTGGCCCAAAAAAAAAAATAATCCAATAATCCAGATTAGTCAACGCAAATCGACGGTTTAGATTACACTGAACATAGTATAAATAGTGAAATTATCGGACCAAGGGCTTCATTTCTTCCTTCATTTTTCGCTGCTTCCAGTTTCTTTATTCGTCTTTTTTCATCGATCTTCTTCCAGCTTTCCGTTCTAACACTGAGGATCTTATAAATGCATATTCTTTTTTAGTTTTCATTTAATCGATGCTTTAAATTAGTTTTAGGTGTTTTGCACGAAACAAAATATGGATTGTTCAATTTGAGGATTTTCATTTTCAATTTTTGTAGTTTTATGTTTGAATTTTTTGGTTTTTTCAATTAATCAAAAGAATCCTTCGAATCTGAGTGTGTGCCGGTAGATTTTGTTAATTTTAGTTGTTTTGCCCGAAAAAGAAATGTGGAGTTTTTAATTTTAAGGTTTTTATGTTCGATTTTTGTACTTTTATGTTTGGATTTTTTAGGTGTTTACGATTAGTCAAAAGAACTCTTAGAATTTGAGTGTGTGTCGGTAGATTTGTTATTTTTTTATCGGCAAAATCATGTTTTTACACAAAATTTTTTGGCGTCCAAATGATTTTTTTCTTTTAAAACTCATCTCGGCTACACAAATCTGACAATTAATTATGTGTTATCATTGATTTTGATGAATTTTACACAATTATTATGGGTTAAGAACTTGCAAGTTTTTTTGCCCAAATAATGAATGTTAATATCAATTAATTTTAAAAAAGATTGGTATTGAAATAAAACTCAAATTTTTAAAAGCATTATTTACCAAAGTTGAGCAATTTGGTTATCAAAACTAACTATCCGTGATTGATAAAAACAAAACTTGTCCGAAATGGTATGCAATTAATGTTGCCAGATTTTTTTGCTTATTAATTTTGGTAAATAATAATTCTTATTATATATATATAGATATAGATTTATAGATTTGCTAAACGTTCGCAACACTTTTCAACCAAAAAAAAACTAATTTAAACCAAGATCAAAACAATATTTATTAGAAATTCTTTTTCTTCGTTTTCTTCTGTTATTATTAAAGAAATTGGATAGCAGGCTGTAATTATTTAGTAAAAAAAAAAAATCCAACAAGGATAGAAAATTTTTTGCAACAAGTTTCTGCAAGTACAAATTCAATTTTCAAGGAAACCTTTTTTCTTTCTTCCCCTTGTAAAAAAAACTTAAAAAACTTCACAGGACCCCAACACAGCGAAGAAACAGAAAGAACGAAACTAAACAAAATTCTCAAAATTGGAACGACTGTTGAAAAGTAGAAAAAGAGAGAAAATCATTACCTGACATCTTTAAAGAATACGAAGAGTGGCATACTCCCATTTTCCGACAAGGTAACATCTTTTTCGGCCATGGCAACGAATATCAGTTATGTTCTTCAGAAAGCTACTCACAGAAAACCAAACGACTCCATATATTTCTGCAATAAAATTCGAAACAAATCATAGTCTGATCACTCGTTACATATCACTTGCACACACACTGACACACACACGCACACAGCAGTTTTTAAATAAAGAAAAACGGGAAGAAAGGAATAATGAAAGAGTGAAACAGGTCAGATTGCAGTTTGCATACCCCATAAACCAATATCTGAAACAAATTAGTTGCCACAACGAATTACTATAAAATAAAATTTTCAATAATTACTCAAGGAAATATCTGAGGAATGTTGAGTGATTATTGAAAATGGCTGTAAGAAACTTAAGCATGCTTATGTTTTTGTTATTCCATTGAGCAATCTTTATTTCTGGTCCAGGATGTTTTACAAGGCGGAGAACAAAAGTGGTCTCCTATAGAACCATTTTAAAGAGCAATGTATAGTGAAATTGTGGAATTTCAAGAAGACAGAGAATCGGAGAGTTACAAAAAGGGTTGTGGACACGTGTACTTGTGGGGCCACTTTCTTGTTTTTCTTTTCCATTGTTGGTGAGGATTTCATTTGCATAAAAAATCAGCCCTTTCCATTAATTTCTTTTCTCTCTTAAAAGTGATTGGGAAAGAACTAATGTTAATTTAAGTTAATTTGACATGTGCAGAAATTATTAGCACAAATATTTTGATACTTACACGCAATGGAGAGAACTCCGAATCGCAATTTATGTTAATTTGACATATGTAGGAATTGTTAGCTCCAACGTAGCCAGAAAATTTTTTAACCCGGGTCTGCATAATGTTGTAGTTAGAGCATCTTCAATGTATTGGGTCTAGTTTTGCCTATGTGACAAGTAAATAAATTCAAGTCTTAGATGACATGAATAAAACTATGTAAAATTAATAAAATTCACTCCAATGCAAAGAGACCAGGTCTCTACTTGGGTCTAAAATAGACTTAAGGGAAGATCGATTCTCTTTTTCTGGCTGCCACATCAGCATGACCCAGTCTACTTTTATTTGCATTGGAGAATATATTTTTTTAGACTGAGTCTATTTTTTACGTGGCATGCAATTTTTTGGGATTAAACCCAAAACATTGTGGATGCTCTTATTATTGGAACCGAGTAGACATGGTCATGGGCCGACCCAGCCTGTCAGTTTCGTCCGAACCGAAACAAACCGGCCCGTTGACCATGGGTCTTGAACCGGCCCGTGGTTTTGACGAGTTCTATTCATGTACATTACTTTATAGTTTATACATTTTGAATCGGAATCGGAGGTTCGGCATTTTTTATAAGAAAATATCATTTTTTAATTATTTTTTATTTTTTTAATGAACTGGACGGCCAAAGGATCGACAATTCAATGAATAGGCCCGTGCATATGTTCGCACCGGTTCAGAACCCTCCAACTCTCGGCCTGGGATCGACGGTTTCGACCCGTAACTGTTTTTGGTCATTACTAGAACCAAATTATCTGTTAACGTATGACGGTTATTGGGAATACTCAATCTCGCCTCGCTTATATATTTAAACAAGCTAAACTCAAATAACTAATCGAACTTGTCGATCAAACATATAGAGTCGAACATGTTTGTAATCAATTCTGTAAGAGTTCTTTCTTTGTCTAGGACATAAGGTCAAATTAATTATTGGAGGCGAAATAAAAAAAAAAAAAAAACAAATGAAAATGGGTAACGGGATATGCAAACCAATTAAATAGTCTGCAGGAGAAGTGTGTGTCAATTTTAATTATCTAGCTCATTTGTTACTTGTCAAGTCAACCCATTAAAAATTTAGAAGGCAAGAGTATGCTGAGCCACATTATAAACCCATTTAATAAAAATCTAATAAGGTCACAATTGTCATTTGACAATAAAAGATTATCTTTTTTCCTCTCACTACAACCATCACTTTTCTACCGTTGTTGTTAGATAAAAAACTTCTACTTGAATCTTGAGGCATCCAACCCAAAATTAAATGGGGCTACAGAAAAAATTACATGGGGCTATATATAATTTTTTTTAAAAAAAATATAGTTAGCAATTTTTTTTTTTAATTTTATTTTGGACATGGGGCTGGAGCCCACCCTAGCCCGAGGGTGGCTCTGCCCCTGGCTCTAATATTTTTTGCTACTAATAATGTCTTAAATATCAAAATATTGATTCACTCATCTCGTATTATCGGTCTAACTATTAATATCGTATTTACCTAAATAACTAGTTATAGTATACTATTTTTTTTAATTGAATATAAAAAGTAAAAATCATATAATTGTATTTACTATTTGTCAACTTTTTAATAAGATAAATATAAGGCAATTAATTTTGAGTTTTAATGATTAAACATAATGATTACTAGTAATCAGAGAATACTATATGATTTACTTGTTGTATATAGAAGGTTGACTCCACTATAAAGCAACTGTTGGTTTCATAGCAAAACTGTAATTGTTATATATATACTATATAATATGCATTTAATTTTTCAATTAATTGATATTTTGTCTAGTACTTTACCTACATTTATTGTACAATATTGGTACAAACCCATATTAGCGTTTTTTTTAAACTAATTGCATATATTTATAGAAGATCAATTATCACTAATACCACCACTACTATCAAACACCTATGGATACTATACGGAATACGGTATTTTAGTTATTCAGACGGACTTTGGGTTATCATGTTATTTGTTCAACAATTTTTTCATTGCATGAATTGCAAATATAAATAATTAATTTAAAAACATATATTCACATACTATTTTTTCTTATCAATATATATACAAATATAATAGAAATGTTTTTTATTTAATTTAATAATTCGTAATTTTAATATTATGATAATATTTACTACATAAATATATACACATAATTATTTAATTTTAAATTAAAAATATTTCTTAAACTGAAACAAAATAGTTGGGTCGACCGTTGGGCCAATCTGGATCACAAAATAGAACTAATGTTAAGAGAAACCATACATTCACATCATTATTTATCATCATTATGTTAAAATAGCTTTACTCATTTTGTTTTAAGGAGGAGAATCTACCATAAGTGTCAAACCAAAACTGCATTTGGCAGTATGCCAATCCCAGAATGATTTTAGGTGAAATTGCTTAAATGCAGATCATATATTTTTGAGGAAATTACCTCCCCCACTACACAATAACATTTTTATTATATATTTATTAACCATATATATTTATTTGCAAATTAACTAAAACTATCATATTTATTTGCAAACATACTAGATAATTGAGCAGCAGATAAATATGGTAAAAGCAGATTTAAGGGAATTGTAATTATCACGACGTTTTCTCTCTCTCTTTCCCCTCTCTATTTTTCTTCTTCCTCTCGCTCTTTTTCTATCTCTTTCATCATCATCTTTTTCTTCTACAATCCGCCGTTGTTCCTCCTCCCCACTGTTCCTCGCTTTTAAAATTTGTTTGGGTAAAGAGAGAGGCGTGTAGAATCAGAGACATATCTATTATGTAGGAGAGGAGAGGTGGTCAGGGATTTTGTTGACGACGGCGAGATGGTGACGTTGACGAGATTTTGTGCCGGAATCATAGTCGATCCACGCCACAATCGGCTTGCCAGAGTTGAGATTGAGATCTATCTTCGAACCCCCGGCGAAGTACAGTTGATTTCCTTTGATTTGTTGTTTGTAGATTCAACTCTTCATTGACCATGTTGTTTGTAGATTCAACTCTTCATTGACCAACTACATACTCTGTTGTGTAACTGAAACATGTCTGAATTTCAGTGAATATAATATATATTATTTTTCAGGGCATTTTTATTTGTAGTATTTTTTTAACATTTATGAATATTTTTATTTCATTTTGCCCTTTCCTGCACGTGAATTTGGAGTTTGTACATTATCAATTATGTGTTCTCCGTGGAATGAAATACTGTTATTAGATTCATCTCCTATGTTAGGGAATAGTGGAATGAATGTTGCGTTGTTTTCCATAAGCGCGCATCATGCTTTTTTTTTTTTTTGTCATTTTAATTTTTATTTTGTGTTTAGGATTGTTTGGTTAATTGATGAATTGTTNATTTTTTTTTTTGTTGAAAACGAAATTGATAAATGAGCAATTTGTTGTTTTGGTATATGAACAATATATGTAAATCTTAGTTATCTACTGTTATTGTCTTAGTCATGTACAGTTTGTGAATGGATGTTTGTTTTTTCTGTTTTCAATATTTTATTCATAGTTTATGTTGGGTATATTAAAAAAAAAAATTGTTAGAATATGAATTTGACAAAGCATAACCTGATTTTTTTTTTATTTTATTTTTTGTAGTATATGTATAGTTTATATTCAGTATATTTTCGGTATATGATAAAATCAATTTATATTTAGCATAAATTGATTGCAACATATACTGAATATATACTAACATAAACGCAATATATATCACCTGACAACGGCATGAATTAAGGAATTCCAAATGCACACATATATTGAATATATACTAACATATACGCACTATATACCACTTGACAATTGCGTGAATTAAGGAAAAGGAATTCCAGTTGCGCACATATACTGAATATATACTAACATATACGCAATATATACCACCTGACAGGTGCGTGAATTAAGGAATTCTAGTTGCGTGAATTAAAAAATTAAATGAGTAAATGATTTATTTTCATTTCTTTCTCTTATGAGTCAACGGTTTTTTGTATGGTAACTGAAATCAAATAAATCTCCAATTAATTCAATAGTTTTATGTACATATGCAATTAAACTTATACTAACTGTAAAATCGTAAATAAATCTAAATCATGTAGGATAGATGAAAATTTCCCTATATTTTTTCCCCCTCCAATTAATATCTTTGACCGAGTATCTTTTAATGATGATTTCTGGTGGTCAGGTGGTCAGGTGGTCAATGGTCATCGTTATGTATATAGTGAGTGGCTGCATTGGCTTGTTTGTCAGCAAGGCCAAGGACAAATGAATCCTGATTTAAGATGGAATGGATAGTTGGATACAAGTGTTGCCATAATATTCCATTTAGACACACAAATCACGCTAAAACTGTAGGCAATCATTTCACTATTCCTTGTTGGTCAAAAAAATTTATTTTTGACGTGACTTATATTAAAACATATGTGTTATTCAATATAATTTTCAATTTATTCAACATCTTGGTTGGTGGTGGTCACACAGCAACATAAAGTTACTCAGGGTGTGGTTGAATATAAATTAATTATTTTAAATTTTAATTGAATTTATTGGTTAATTTTAAGAAAGCTGGTTGGATTAGATTTGAGTTATATTTTGAGTTTGTATTAAAATTATTATTTAAATAAATTAATTAAAATTAATTTGATATAAAAATATGAGAGATGCGATTATAAATGATGAGTAATTAAAATTATGTGAGAGAATGAATACTGAATTAAAGTTTATGTGATAAGTATGAATGATTGAGTGATATTATTTAATTATATTGATAATATTGAGAATTAATGTGGATTAAATTTGAATTA